GGTTAGGTGTCCCACAGGTAGTGTAGCTTGCAAGTTGAGGCAGAGAACAAGCTAAGACAGCCACACACTGGTCCGATCATTAAAGATCAAGAGAAAAGAAAGGTGAGGCTCGAGACAAGAGACAAGAAATGGCTCGCTGAGCCATTTATCTCTCCGCCCTTCAATTAATCCCACATGTGTTCGTTGGCCAGGTTGGCACAATAAACCTACCTATCACAGCTGTTTACATACATTGTCTCATTTAGCCCTTTAAGTCCCTTTGAATAATAGTGTCATTATTCTCATCTCACAGATTAGGATAGGAAAGGAAAGTAATTTGACTAAAATCACACATTTACTGAATGGCAGGATTCAAACTCAGGTTTGACAATGAAGCTGGATCTCAAAGAATACTCTCAGTCTCTGTTATCACAGTGACTAGAGTTTTCCAAAGCTGACTTTCTAACAATGTTGGCGCAATGGCCATGGATCCTTTATTTTCCTGAGTATTTCATCCAGGGAATGAAAATTAGGCAGGATGGAACCTGTCCTTTTCCGTCAAGCATTAATTGGGACAATTTTATTCATGTGGAACAAGGATGTGATATTGGACACTTCAAAGCTTCTTCTTTCCTTTTTGTCTTCTACTCAGCTTTTATTTCCTCCTCTGAATGACAATTGTAAGGTAAATCATTGGCCTGTGAGCAAGGCCAATGTTATAGGCAAAGGTTGTCACACATTTTCAACTGCTGTCTGAAAAGAAGAAGCCTGAAAATTAGATTCGAGTTTGGTGTGCCGGGCTAGATGGCAGGCTTGAGTCACACCTCTGCTTCTCCTCCAGCTCCAACCTCAGAGCGGCTTTCTCCTTCCCTCCGTTCTGTCTTTACACCTGCAGACAATTTCCACCGAACTCCCAATCAGTCACCCAGTCAGCCATCAAGCATTACGGTTAACCATGTGCTAAGCACTAATCTAGGTTTGGGGACAGAGCATCGCTTACATTACAAGGGCCCTTCTACAAGAGACAGAGCAGGTCCAAGGAAGTAATGGGAGAAAGACAGACAGCACACCTGTCTGTGGTGCTGGTTTATTTCCACTCTGGCAGGGCAGCCACAGAGATGGAGTCTGCACTGAGTTCCCCGCTGTGTGGTCCCGCTGTTGGGCTGTAAGGGGTCCGGGAGAGCCTGTCACCAGAGCTAAAAACAGAGATGGGAGAACTTCGAGGTTTATTCCTACAAGTGCTTGCAGAGGGAAAACAGCCAGATGTCTTCTCTGAGCTGTTTCAGAATCAGTCCTGACCCTACATTAGTAGATAAGAAACATTTTTTACAATGATTGAAGGAGATTCTCAGGTTTTTACAACGTCATAAGGTACAATTGATACTCTAAGAATGCAGATTCTACAATGATCATTAGGAAATTATCTATACCTGCTTTTCTCCTGAGGCCATTAGATCATCATCCTCTGAAGCTTCATGTGTGCCCTTATTTATCCGAGTTGGATTTAGCTCACCAGCCTTGTAAGTGTCCTTTCCAAGTTGGAACAGCTCTGCTGATTAAGCTGTAAAGGAAATTTTACTGGAAGGAAAGGGGCTGTTACATTTTGGATTTTAAACAAATTAAATCTTAAATGATGTTATATTTCTAGCATTGCTTTTCCCCATATCAGTACCTCCTCCATCACCAAACAAAACAGAGTTCTAGTAGGCCTAAGTAGGGCCAACAACTAACAGCCCAGCCTTCTAAGTACCATTCTCGTGTGTCATTTCTCTTTTTGACGAACAGGTTGAAATTGCAGAATTATTTATTTTTTTAATCATTTTATTGGGGACTCATACAACTCCTATCACAATTCATACATACATCAATTGTGTAAAGCACACATACATTTGTTACTCTCATCATTCTCAAAACATTTGCTTTCCGCTTGGGTTCTT